AATTATTGCTTGAAAGGTTGCTGCAAGGTATTGCTCGGGAATATTTTTAGATGAATGTACAGTTCGATGTGAAAAGCACAGAGTGAGACTAAGTATTATGTTGACTTTTCTTAACATAAACATCAAAGCATTCAGAAACAAGGCTGTCACTTCCACATTTGTTTCTCTGTCCAAAGGTTCATGGTATATATACGTATATTGGTGGTGAGGATCAGCAAATATTGCGATATACCGCACAGTTCAGGCAGTAATTAGGAAAACGGTGCCATATCTAGTATGCCGAATAGCCCTATAGTGAGCAATATTCATCCCTCATGCTTATCAGTACTGATTTCTGTCTCTAACAAGTTCGAAGACTCATGTTTATGAAGCAGAGAATACATTTGAAACCACAGCTAAAATAATTACAACTTGTGAAAAAAATAATGCTATGAAGCTCAGAGTATATAGCTTTCAAAATAACTACAAATAATATATTGCTATGTCAGTCAATCTATAGTTATTCCTAGTGATTGGGATTCTTTGAGTATTCTTCAATGATCTCCAAATCTGGCTACATATTAGCATTCCCTAGGGTGGTTTTCTAGCTACAGATTCCTAAGACCTACTGAATCCAAATCTCTGAAGGCAAATACAATACAGTACTTTGTATTCCTAAACACTTCCTAGGTATTTTGAAGCCAGCCAGATACTGCCAAGGTCATGAGTTGAACCATTAAACAGCATTGTTTTTTAATAAGGATGGGATGGCGACAAGACACTTGAATGAAACTGTGTGTTCTGGCCACAATGTATTAGAAATAAAAAGACAAATTTTACTTCTCTATCTCCAAAGTCCTCCAAAAAATGTTATTCTTAAAATAGCTACACTCAACACTCAACACACACACACACACACACACACACACACACACACACACACACAGACATACACGGTGGGGCAAAAGTAGATTTACAGTTTTGGGTACACGAAACAATTTATTTTTGCATTATTATTTACTATTTATTAATTATGGTATTATTTTCCATGTGAACAACAGTAACCTACTTTTGCCCCACCCTGTGTACAAATGACTTATTTTAATGAAAGGAAGAAGGAGAGACTAGACGGAGGAAGGAAACAGAAAAGTGGGAGCACAGTAATCCTTAGGTTTCAATTGTTTGAATCAAGTGTGAGGAAGGAATTTTGCACACTATTTCAACATGTCCTGACAAAATTTATGATAATTTGTGTATAATATCAGTGTCTGTTCTTCAGCCACCGCCATGAGGATCCTGAAATTGAGCCCACAGCTGGGGATCATTTACACTTTTAATAATAAAATGCATTCAGTCATTTTAACACAATGTATGTGTGTGCTAAATCAGCTGATTGTGGATTGAGTATATTGGTGTCAAAGCTACCCATAAAGAATCATCGTTCAGAATGGAATATGTTACACTTTAACAATTCAGTCTCTCATGCATCGTGTTTTCAGGTTGTGTCTAATAAGGTATGTTCCTAAAAGCCTCTGAAATGACTATTTTTGTATTGAAGATCTGTAGTCTCATAACAGAAATGCCCAGTTTAATGTGGGACTTCGTTGTTGGTCTTGAGCATTAGGTATTGCTGGCTGAGAGGCATCTGGCACCACCCACAGCCGTGCGTATATCACTCATTCTGAAGGGACATTCAGTGGGTGCAGCGAGTGCTCAGCAGGTTGTATTTAGAAGAAAAAGCAGAAGGACAAACTCAGATGTCAGACATACCCCAGCACCCCTGGTGGTGGTGGTGGGCGGGGGGGGGCGGTTAGTTCCCTTCAGAAGTGCATTCTTGCTTGGACCTGACTTCGTGTGAATCTTCCTCTGGGCCAGAAACAGGCCTCAGAAACTCTTTGTGTGGCCGCATTCGGCTCAGAGGTACAGAGAAGTGTTTGATGGGGTCAGGCGGGAGAGGGTGGGATGATTTTCAGTAATGCGGGGAGTAAAAGAGGGTCTGGGCATGGACTACGTAGTGCTCAAAATGCGTGAGACGATAGAAACCTACATGTCGAAGTTTTACTCTCTGCCCAGTGCCCTCAGCGAGTCAGGAACCCACGGAGCCTTCATGAAATGTATTAAATGATGGTAATAATCTTGTGCCCTCTCTTGATACCTCACAACCTCAACTATCCTACTTCAATTGGTAGCAATATGATTCTGTTCAAAACGCCAAGCCTGGCGGTTTTCCAAATTCTCTGTGGCTTTGCCTTTTGTATGTATCAGATTAATTTTGCTTTATTGCTGGAACTCTTGGGAGGAATTTGCAAAATGAAATGCCTTCTGCACTTGTACATGAGAGCCATTGTTTAGGCTGCTGTTCTGCCTTGCTCTGTTTTTCTTGGAGAGGCCCACACTTTTGCATTTTCATAATAAAACACTATGTTCTACACACCATTGTCTCAGGAACAAGTGTGAGACCACGAGAATCACATTTGAAGTGCCGACTCCATGAACCTGCTCTCCGGTTTTAGCCATCGGCAGGTCACACCTCATTGGACAGCATAGAGTCAGGTGCTGAAAGGAAACCTCATATAATTTAACATATAAGAGAATTGATGAATATCAAGGCAGATTTTAACAGTGGGGTCCTTCTACACACCACACTACACTGCCTTTCTCCAGGCATTGAGTATTCTTCTTTAGTTATGGCTGCTATTACCTACTGAGGTTCACAAAGCACATCCTGCACAGTGTTTTGGGGGTACCTATGGAGGTCTCTCACTTTGTTAGATATCAGAGTTATTTGCAAACAATGCCATCCTCTCCATCAAAGTGATACTCTTGCTGATGAAAGCTTTGGCATTGATGGCTAGTCATAAAGTGACTTCTTCCAATTTGTTGCTTGAAAAAACACTAAAACAGGTACCACGTTATATTTAAAATATCCCTTTTAAAGTGGGGTAAAGCCATTTACCCAATTTAATACCACTTGATTTCCATGGGACATCCATGTAACGCACTTTTAGGCTGCCTCACTAACATGCATGATGTGTGTGGTAGCTTGTAAGTGAGAAGACTGTATAGATATGAGGCAGATGAAATACCACTGTCACCCACTGTTACAGCCACAATTCCTAACAGAATGCATGTGGAGTGTATTATGTAGAGCAAAGTAGGATGCTTTTTCACAGCTTCTAAATTCTGTGAGTACAGCTAGCATGAACAGCCATTTTAAACAGCCTTGCAAACACATAGCAACAGTGCAACTATGATGATCGATTGTACTAAATTGGCAAAATGGTAACAGATTAGACCATTGCTTGGGACTATAGCTTGAAAGATATATATATAGATTATATTGTATTAAAACTGGAGCTTACATCGTGTCTGTGATATTTAATAGGTTTTTGGCATATTCTTCATTGTGACAATTGTTACAATGTAAACAATAGCTTCTCTAAGTAAAATCATATAAACTAAGAAAGACTTTGTTATTCTTCTGACAAACTGAATGCATCTACAGTTTTGGTTTGGGGCCCTAGTTCCATTATCAGATAAGAAAGTGGATTTCCAGCGATGCTTTTAAAATATGCTTCCCATAGGTGATCACAGTTTAGAGAGAATAGCCATATTTTTAGAAGAGTTGCTTACACAAACCTTTACAAGAAGCAGGGAAATGGATTGTATTGTTCAGGGAAGTCCCTTTCAGGCTAATGGTTACAGAATGCATTGTTGACTGCCAAAACATGCATTGATTTACCATGTCAGGATAAGCTCTAAGTTACTGTGCAGAATAAGCATAAATGATTCAGTGAGCTGGGTTCCCTCCGCATGCCCCTGTGCTGTGAGAAGCCCACCAACATGGATAGCTACGGGGTCCTGTTCTTGGCATGAGGACCAGGGTGCCCACATTCCCCAGCAAGGACTAGGTGCCCCCGCCTGTTCCGTGCACTGACTGGACAGCTGGCTCCGCCACCTGTGAAGGAAGTGCATTCATCTCCCAGGGCGGCACACTGTCCTCAGTCTACACAGCCGCCCATGAACACCCAGGCCTTCTCGCCCCATGTGCTTGAAAACAGAGGCCTAGACTCAGGGAAGAGAAGGCCAGGCCAGGATTCAGAGAGCGCTGGCCCAGGTCGCGTCCCACATGAAGAGTGACACACGAGTGTCCTCATAAGCCCCAGGGCGAGGACAGAGCTCAACAATGATGCAAGTGATCACCTTATAACAAATACTTTGCATTTATAAATATGCAAATGCTTTCTAGCGACCCACTTAGAGAACTTAAATATACTAAAGCAGCCTCGCAGACTACATTGGACACTAGTTAATATGCTCCTTTGCTGAGTTATGCCATAAGCAAATCATAATGCAGCCCAAATCACTGACCAGAAGAAGAAACATTATATTCAGTAGACACGAGCTACTAATGACTGTATGTACTGTAGTAAGAAAATGGACACCCTAAGGTTTTAAGGGAAAAAATACAGCTCGTTAACCTCAATAGAAACTTAGGTTTTAGATCTGATCCAAAATAGAAAATCTCTGGACACACCATGCTCCTAATTTCAGGTGAGTCTGTAATAATATTTTCATTCAGTGCTAATTATTGGGAGCTGGTCTTCGTTTTAGCAGGTCATGTGATGGAAGCCTATTGGTAACTATGGTGATTACTAAGTGAAGGTTAGACCTGCTTCACTGTTTTGAAGGTGATTCACTGAATTTAAAAGCCAACTCAATCCAACTGAAGATGAACATGTATTTTAACCTTAAAGCCATTCAGTACAGGCATTTTTCCTTGCTCTTTATTATACATGAAGAAACAAAGTTGTTGGCAAAAGTGTTCTCACTAATGGCAGTATCTAGGCATTCACTCCTGAGAGTGGCCTAAGGCATCATCCATCATGAAGGGGGTGGGGGAGTGTGAGCATGTCACTTAGTAGGCTGCTGTTTTCTAGAGTGCAGTTCAGTACCTTATAATAACTACCTGTATTTGTGAATGCAAAGTTGAAAAGCGTTCAGAGAAAAGAGCATTTGGGTTTGACTGATTCTTGTTAGAAGATGGCAAAAAAAGGATCTTTCTTTAATCTTAGCTACTATTAGGAAATTCCATTTGCTCTGGGTCCCATGTTACATGAATTAAATCTACAGGATATATTTACTAAGCAGATGTACAATTCTTTCTCAGCATCTGAAATTCTTGGTTATATGTGTCCTCAAGTCTAAGCACTAAAGACTCTAGGTAAATAAAACTATATTCGAAGAATAGGTTAGAGTTACACTATTTACCAACTATACAGTAACAGATTCAGGACATCTCATCATGTTGTGTGAAAGGTAATTATCTAGAAGAGATGTGTATAAAAATAGGTAATATCCCTAAAATATTTTGCTGAGTTACAGTTCTTCCTGCTGGGAAGCTTACCACACTGCCATGACATATGTATGAAATGTCTATTCAGAAAAAAACAAAGTTAGAAAATATCCTTCACATACCACCTCACTGAATGTAGGAATATATACTAAAACTGGCTGTCAAAAGTGATACAAATATAGAGGGAAAGATATCTGTATGTGTGACAAACAAGCAAACATGAACGCTATTTATCGGTTAGTTTTGAAAGGGGGCCCACACTTGTAATTAAAATATATATGTGACCAAGAACACTCCTACGAATGGACACGCCTTGTTTCCCCCACCCTCCAGTTGTTTTTTAATTGACAGTCATCGCCCGCCTTTTTCTAGGATTATTGCCTGATGTCACAGAAAGTCCGCTGTTTGTCCCCAACGAAGCAGTGAAAGAGAACCCCTCGCCACCTTCCCGTCGTGCCCTGTGTTCTGGGCTTGTGCTTTTGGAGGAGTCTTTGATCTGTCGCACGTCTCAGAGGCTTGTCTCCCGGAGGAACATGGTGCCGATGTTGTAGGAAACCTTTTTGATTCTCGATGAGGAAAGAGAAGGCTTTGGCTGCCTGGGGCCAGTCCTTACCTCCAGGAAATAGCAGATCCCGGGAATTTCCTTTGGAAAGTTGTCCGGAAGGTCTTCACGGGACCGAGGAATGAATGTGAAACTTTCTTCCCGTTTTAATAATCTAAGAAGAAGATACAGATAATGAGAATTTAATAAGCGGGGGAAATGCACATGCATGGACAGACACGTTAAAGACTCAGGAACCCAATCAATAACTGTGCTCCTGCTAATACCTCTATTCTTTGTTAGATGTGGCCTTCATGGGATTCCTACCACTAGGAAATGTTACGTCTCAGGAAAGATCCCTCCATGTTATCGTAATAATAATAAAAACAAAGCTGGTCCTGGTACTACTTGAAAATATCTGTTCAAATTTGATTTTTTTTTCCCTAGACAAACTGAGGAAACGGCATAATACATGTTTTTATTCAAACACAAAGGATTTACACTCTATGTTTTTAAAATCTGCCCAGATTCTACAGCACTCCTTTTATGTTTTGTAGACACCTGCTAAGCTTTAAATGTGTGTCCTGTGTCCTGACATGTAAACCAAACATTTAACTTTGTAGAACAATATTCATGGTTCCAAGGATCTCTGATATATGCTGATTCCAGGCAATACACATTTCTAACCTCACTGGCATATTTGTCCAACAGCTGACTTCTTCCCTTCCAGTCATTATGGACTC